AAGGAAGCTGCTGGCCTGACGGCGCTCTGACCCTGTGTCTTTATGGGGAAACAAACAGAAGCTACAGCCACTGTTGCACCAGTCCCACCAGTTTTACTTTACAAATACATGCATGAAAACAAACATTGTGATTTGTTTGCATGAGCTGAAGGTGCTTCAGCTTTCTGTTTCTTTGTCTGAATCACAGCTTTGTACTCGTGATGGCGTCGCCTTCAGGAGCTGCTCAAATGTTGTTCTTTTTCATTTCAAACATGCATCATTGCCAAAAGTTTGTGGTCTTGTATAAACGTGCTCCTGCAAAGACTAATGATACACTGACTGTAAGTTTCTGCCCTGGTGTTTTTCAGATTGCGCTGTGAACGTTCACAAGAGCTGCAAGTCTCTGCTGGGGGAGTGCACCAGCAGCAAGAATAAGGTAAACACTCGAAACACGGCGAGCAGCCACGATTAGGCCACGCTGCGTTTGATTGCGCTCTACAGGCCTGGACTTTAATGTGATGTTGCACCAAGGAGTTGCGTATCACTTCCTGTGTCCTCTTCTTGTGGTTCGATTACCATTCGTGCTTCTGTGCATCGCTGCAGCGATGACACGTAGAAACCTTCAGACGGGATTTGTTTTGTCGAGCATGAGAAATTTGGAGGAATGTTTATGTTAAAATGACTTTTGGATTGATGATGAAACATCAGAATTTGCTGTTTGACTGTGACGGCAGGATTCAGTGTTCACTGTGACAGTGAAGCAGAAGTGTCAGTGATGATGCTGCATGTCATTTCCACATTCAATACGAGGGCTGTCGAAACATTTTGCAACAACCGCGCCCATGAACATACCACCGTCTCTTAGTCTAAGGTTGTCCTAGTCTACAAGTCATACTTCTTAAAAATTATTTTTGGGGATTTTTAGCGTTAATTGATTTGATGGAGCGCTGATCAGAAAGCAGGGACAGTGACGTGCAGGGACAGTGACGTGCACGCAGTGACTCGTGTGGACACGTTTCTGGGTTTTACGCACACAATGTGCTGGACATCTTATTTTAAAGGGCTGTAATGTCCAATTATATCAGGAAGTGGAACAAATATTCTCATTTGGGTGGGTGGCTGTAGCTCAGGTGGCAGAGCAGGTCAGCCACTAATCAGAAGGTCGGTGGTTCGATCCCAGGCTGCTTTAGGGACTAGAAAAGCGCTATTTACCATTGCTGATGGAAAAAGACTTGAACCTGGGAAGTACTACCATAAATACCAATACATTGTATACAAGAACAATAAAGTCACCAGCATCAATACATTAAATGTTATTTAAAGGTACCATTATCCGTAGTTTTCTTTGGGGTGGCTGTAGCTCAGGTGGCAGAGCGGATCAGCCACTAATTGAACCAGCGGATTGAACCACCAGTGGTTCAATCCCAGGCTGCTCCAGTCTGCATGCCAAATATCCTTGGGCAAGATACTAACCCCATGTTGCTCTCCGAGCAAGCACTTAAGCTTAGAAGTGCTTGTGTGAATGGGTGTGATTGGGTGAATGAATTAGCTGTATAAAGCACTTTGAGTGCTCGGACAGAGTAGAAAAGCGCTATATAAGAACCAGTCCATTTACCATTTGTTATTTTTATTAAACAAACTAAAGTGAAATATAAGTCAGACTTTATAAATTCCAGTGTTGTACAATTTATGACATTATTTCCTTTTTTTGTCTCATTCAAAAACGTAAGAGTAAGAAGACTGAGAACAAAATAGGAATCGTAAAAAAATCTAAGGTGGTGCTTGAAGCTACTTCATCCCCTCACAGACGCATGAATCCACTTTTCCCGGCTCGTTTGCAGCTCGACTTCTTGTGAATCTGCCTGATATGAACTTGTGAATAAAGACTAACTGTGTGCACTTTTGTATAATTTTATAATCTGACTCTGTTGATAAAAGCACGAGAAACTGGCCTTAAAAATGTCGTCTTTCTTTATTTTCTCCACGCAGAGAGATACGCTACCGAAGACCGGCTCATCAGGATCTCCTAACCTCGGTGAGTCGAGCGCAGATGTGCTGCTCACAGATCCCGCTGACACAGTATCAGTGTAACTATGGGGTTCATCGATGGCTGAGAAGGTGGCTTTAGTCCCTTTATGTCTAATTAAAAAGCTGGTTGCTGCACCAGAGGATTAAAAACATGAACCCTCAACACATCTGATGGTGGACTTGTCCTATTTCTTTCTGGTGTGTGTGTTTGTG